CACTCTAAAGGAGGAATTCCCTAGGCGCAGCATTGTTTTATGTCTTTTCCATGTATGTATGCCAAGCATTCAGAAGGAAGGTAAGTTTCATTCCCATTAACTAACATAGCGAAAACAGTTCCCAAATCAACGTGTTAAAAAGTGGTTGTATCGAATGGCGCACACGCGCATGGTACAATTAAGAATATATTGACAAGGGTTTTGTAATTACCTAAACCTCATAAGTATGATGGACGCTGAGGCTTGTGCTTACATTAGAATGTACTGGTACTGGCTAAGAACACGGAAATATTGGACTGCATCCTGCAACCGGTTCACCATCAGCATGGGGAACAATACTAACAACAGGGTGGAGAATGCTCATATGCAGTTGAAAAGGTATCTACGTAAAGGTGATCCGCTGGAACTGACGCTATGGAAAATATGGAGGTGGTTTGACCACACAACGGGAAATACGTCAGGGCCAGTGGATGCTTTGTAAATATTACAATTACGATGTAAGTTTCAAGATAATTTACGACTTTTCCTAGGTGCATAGCCTACTCTAGCCTTTATTACGGCTTCTCACACCCTTTGCTGCCAAGAAAGTTGTTTTAAACTTGCAAAGGCGCCTTTTCTTCTTCCTCTATTCAATTTCCTCCACCTAAGTTAATTACGCAGAAGGTAGTCACATCTTCTTTGTAAACAGGAATGAGGCGAAATGCACATGTTGGACATACTGGGCATACAGTTTGCCATGTGCGCATGTCGTTCAGGCTTTCTTGAATTCATATCTAAACTGTGGTATGTTCCATTTCCTTAAATGTTACTCTTAGATATTCTGACAAATAGCGAGAGGTGGGCACGTCGGTATAACACCACGGACAAGATTCCGCGAGCCGCCCGCTTAACACCGCAAACAAACAACGTGTTTCGGAATGCTTATGAACGGTTACGATGTCGTCTCGTCAGCCTGAACCAAAGAAATCCCAACGCCGCACTGCGGGAAATAACTGAGTTCACCAGAAGGTTGGACAGTTTGCTAGTAAATGAACCGCAAACAACTTTACGATTACGATGTGCACCTGTTAATCGCTTATTTTTGTGAAAATGTTTGTATCACCTTATTGTTTCCGTTTGTATTCATAACATAAACATGTATGTGTAAACTGCTGTTACACTTCCTTCCCCTTTATATGCCTAAGAGTGACAGTTCAAGGCATACTTTGGTTAATTGTTTTGCGATGAGAGCGCTTTCCAAGTCAATTAGAAATTACACCGGCCTGTGCCTTATTTACTACGTTTGATCAGCCGAAGATTACTGGTTCATAACATATCCTGAGTAACGGTGACTAGTACGATTTATCACCTATACCGTAGCAACGCTTAAAACACCGACCTTACAACAATTCCAAACAAAATCTAACCAACGCGTCAATAATGCCTTTTCACGGTAAATGAGTATTTTATCTACTTGAAATGAATCCAGTATGTACTGAAATAACTCTGGTCCTTCTTAAAGAGGAGCACTGGATGCTGAACCTGGGCTAGGTAGGAGGCCTGAAATAAGGCTGATAAGCTACTTGTGAAAAGGTGTCAAAGAATAGCAGGGTGCTGAATTGTAGTGCCAGTCAGTCATGCTGATAAACCAGCACACAGTTCCAGTTTGTGAAAATAATCAAGAATTGCAGAACAGTTTCGCAGTTTACTTACTAAAGAATGTTACAGTTAGTTCAGAATTAGCAGGATTTAATTCAGCATTATGGTGAGCTTAAGAGGCTGCAAGTAAATTTCATTTTGTGCTATGAACACCTTACTATATTAGCATAGTATAAGCGAATTAGCTCAGTGTTTGCTTGTTTACCATAATCCTTAACTATCAACTTAATAACTGTGAACTTCAGACTAAAAATAAGCTTCATAGTAGCATCCAGCGACAAAAATTGACCTCAACACTTTCAAATATGCAAAATGCCCAAAAAGCTTTAAAATTTCAGTGGCAAACGAATTAACGAAAACATATAACCAGTAGACGCAGGAACCCACCGTGACTTTGGAGCTGGTTATACAGTCTTTCCTACACTCACATCGAATAATATTCACACGCCATTGTATTATGGTAAGTCGTTAGTTATAGCACCCTAGCGGAATATAAGCAGCTTTACAGATTTCCTGTTTTATACTTGTTAAGTGACGTATATAGGGTCTTTCCGGTGAGATCTTATTGGAACATTATTGTTCGCTAAAATATGTTGATCGAAGTAATTTATCGTCTTACGGTAAATAATGTTATATGTATATATACATATATATATATATATATTAATGGACATTTTAAGATTTGTGTGCACAGAGTTGTGGAGATAGAATGACTAATTGTTTACTGTGGAAGTAAGGAGAAGTGTAATTATTCATGAAAAATGCCACATTATAAGGTAACAGTCAATCAGAAATGGAGAATTTAGCTGCATGATTGTCTACTGCAACCTCTGTACTGTGAGTACAGACCACTAGGTTAGATTGTAAACTTCTACTATCGTAGATGGCTAAGTAGCCTGCTGGTACTAGAGAAGTTGTTAGTTTTTAAATAGTGAGTGGTCTTTTTGTATTCTCCTGTTTGTTTTTTGTGTGGTTGCTGTATGAAATGGACGATGGATTGTTTAGTTTTTTATGAAGTTTGTTGTCGGAGTCTAAGTATGTGTGGAAAGTTTGTGGCGACTTTGTCGATTGTTGGGATAATTCCCAAATTTTTTATGATTGTGGATTAAATGTGTGGAGCATTTCGGAGACTAATAGCGATTTTAGCGTTGGATACCTGTGAAATAGCGTCATGACCGTTTGTAGCGTATTTGTTGTTTGGCTCTTCGGTTAACTATATCGACTCGTCATTGTGCGACTGTTTTCAGGTTTCTTCCTTGTTTGGCTACTCTTTTCTCCTAGAGTCATGGGTGGCTTTGGGAATCCGGTTTCCAAGTGTTCTGTATTCGATAACATAAGGCAAACTGAAGTGCTTTAATTACAGCATGATAAGTTTATGTCACAGCAAATTGATGCAGCCTAGTCATTGAACAGCATCCTTTTGTGGATACTTCACGCTTGGTCCTTTCCCGTTTTGAGGTTTTCATGGCAACCTGCTAATCTGATAAATAACAGTAATAAATAGTAACTGTTAAAGTGAACTTGGTATGGACATATATAACATGATAAATAAGAGTTTACGAAACAGTTACGTTATAGTTAGTGGCGTTGAAAACGCTGAAATTAATATTACAATGATTTACACTGATGTCCTCTTGAAGACGATTCGTTTGAAAAAGGTAAGGAGATTAAATGCTATTGTTAAATGCAAAACCAATGCAACATTAATTCCTAAGTGGTGGTACTGCATCATAATGAAGTTAGATAGACGATATTCACATAAAATGTTACATTAAAATTCACGATGAAAACACTATTTTGTGATTGTTCTCTGCCTTAATATTATCACATCTCCTTCTCCATCGCACAGTAGATCTGTTGAAGTATTGTAAAACTAAAATGATGTTACTCACAATAATGTTATTGATAAAAAATTATTGAATTAGTGGTAGCAGTTTTCCTAACATTCGAAATGACTGTAATGACATATTTCTTCAAAGGGATTGGAGATATTTTAAACAGGGGATATTAACTTTTAGCTAATTTAAACAGTATGTTTTCCAGGATGGCGAACTTTCTTCAATGGGCTGCTGAAAAAAAATAATAGACAAGTTATTTTAAGAGGGAAGTGATTAGAAGAAATAATCCTGAAGTTATACACTTTGAATACAATCACACTTTTTCTCAATGTCCTCATCATGGGGCGACCTCGAAACCGATGGAAATAATCTTCTGAGGCCGAAGTCACTCGCTCCTGAATTTTCCACTGCTATGTTGTCAGTGAGACGAATTTACAATTAGTTGAAGTGCATGCGTTACCTAAGAGCACTTAGTAGGAAAAACAACCGTTTACAGGAAAATTCGCTGGTGTCCCGTATAAGGTATAACGACGAGCGAGTGCAGGTGCGAAAACTAAATTCATTAAACCTTTTGATAGAAGCGTTAGCATTCTACTGTAGTCGACAGGACGTTGCGTTTGTGTGAGTGGAGTAAGCCTTGAGATAACAACTTGTAAATGAAATCTTAAATTTTCGATTTATTAAAGATGCGTCAAGCACCTCGACTTCATGTTCCGTCGTCAATTACGCACTAATGTTCTAACATCCTCCTTGAAATTACTCTGTAACTATGTCTTCATTGTTTCAGGCGGGTTAACATGTCCTCCACAATATTGCTACGTTTATGTCGCAAGTCTAATGAAGGTCAAGACTGCTGAATGACTGTTACTCAGTAATCTCATTGTCATCTCCCCGGTATATTCATTATCGGAAGGTGTTAAATTAAAAAGGGATCAAGATAAACTGGTCGTAGCCTGGATTTTGTGTATCATTCCACTTTTAGAAATGAGAATAAACCATACAGCAGATGATTAGACTTAAAGTTAATTGAAGATGCATATAAATACACACAAGCAACATATTATTTATATGTATATATGCATATGCATAATTACTCAGTATTCTTCATGCTGTAAAACTTTTATCATGTTATGTAAATATTATTTACGAAAGCTCCTCTCCCAGATTTTGCTTGAAATGTTAACTAGTAGAAGTGTAACTATAAAAGTTGTTTAATCATGTCACGTGTTCCAATAAAATAACGAAAGTCTACTGAAATGTTTAAACTGATAATATTTTTGTGATAGCTTTCATATGGTAACAATAATTCTATTTTTTGTCTCGAATAAATTTTGTTCCTTCACAAGTGCAAATTAACGTTTTTGTTTTGTCGCTGTATAGTTCTTGCATGAAATCATTAACACTGAATGATTACAACAATGCTGAACGTGGAGAAAATGGTTGTTGTTGCTGCTGCTTATTTTAAACTGGTTTTCGACTTTTCATGAAATTATTCAGGAAAATAGAACTTCACAACACAGAAGAATGAATGAGAAAGGTCTGCGTTCCGACAAGGTAACATTTTCGCACCTTTGATGTCAGTTACACTTGCCCTAATTGAACATAAATCTGCTGTTAGGGCTTATCACATACAAATATGTTTCCTCTGCCTTCGAGTATAAATAAAATGCCGCATATATCAAATTCCTTTTACTATACACTTCTTGGGATAGAATTCCTAATGTACTCGACATTATTCATAGTTTCGACGGTTGTGTGGCAGTCTGAAGTTTCTGTGTTGTGCATTACCAGTCATCTATAAAATCATTTTATGGATAAGCACTGAGAGTGAAGGAAAATTACTCAAATATCTAGTTTATCTCTTGGTAAATGAAAATGTACAGAAATATTTGATGGATGAGTAAACATTACTTTTTACAAATAGTTAACTTTTGTGTGGTTGTCAGGCATATTTCTTAATTGCACATTAAGAGTGGTACTTAGTCACTACCCTTCAGTCACTAAGATCAACTACGTCGCAGTAACGAGGAATTGTATTTTAATATTTTCAGGAGACCATTTAGTCTGTAATCATTAAAGTAGAGGTACACACACAAGAGGCTTTTTCCTGGTCCTTGAAATACCGTGATTTGTCATGCTTCGCTTCTCTCAGATTTTGTTTCTTCTCAGTTAACAAATTGTTTATTTCCAAGCGAATACCGTATCGTTTTACACTTCAGGTCGGAGTGTAAGAACATCAATCCTATGCGCATTGTGCTTTTGAATAACCTTATAAAGATAAACTCATTCAAATGAAGGAAAACCATTCTAATTTTTACAATTTGAATATAGCATGTATGAATAAAGCATATTGATAAATGCATAGAGACTTTGACTGTTAGTTTAGCCTACATAACTGCTCTCCCTGAAATGCTGAGGATCACTGATTGTAGACTGTTAGTGAAATGGTGGAAACCAGTTCACAGTGATGCAAATGCGTTCTTTCTCAATACTCTTCACTTAATTCTTTCTCGCTTAGATTTGTGTTCATTGTAGTTGCTTGATACGCGTGGTTGAATTGTTTGTTCTTATTACCATATCCGCTGAACTGTTTGCTTTTGTCTTAGTTTCATTGCATTTCCTTTCTATTCCTTTATGTTTGCTTTCATGAGTTTTGGCTTCTTGAAATACTGTCCCTTGTACAAACTTCAATAAGTAGGCCTTTCCAGCTTTGTCACATCATATCCGCTTGAACATTTGTATATGTAACCATTCTAATTGCCACTGTTTTGATTGTCACACATTTCTCCATCATTCATGACTTATGATAATTATTGTTATTGTTATTACTGTTGTGATTAATTCATATTCATCTTATATTCCTGTGGACAGGTCATTACAGTTTATATCTGATTTTTCTGTGTAAATCTATGTATAACAGGGTAAAGCGTGAAACACGATTGTTTGATGTATGTTTTATTCTAAACGAGGTAAGTGCAAAACTATAATAGAGGAGAAAATAAAGTGTGCGCCAATTTAATCCATATCACCTGAAATCTTGTACTTCAGGTTCCAGCTATCGTAAGCAATACCTGAGAGATCTGTGGCTAATATAAAACAATTACATATTAGAAACAAAGTGGCGAAAATTAGAAGTAATATTAGTTACAGCATAACATAAATCGAAAATGTTTGATTTAACTTGCTTGATATTTTTTCTACCGAAATAGAAAGCCAAAATCTTAGTTGCATTTCAACTTTAATTATTATAATCGTAATAGCTTTCACTGAGTAAATGAATTAAATTGAATGAATGAAGTTTTCTTTAAAGTATTAGGGATTTGGAGCAGGAGTTAAATGACACCTTCAATGAATTTAATTTGAGATCAGATCTACAACATGAATTTTCGGCTTGTTTGGAGAAGAAATCTGTGTCGTTTTTATATCACACAGAATCATTGAAAGCATTGGAGAAAATTGGATTGAACTATGATGACTACATACAGGTCAAATGAATTGTTATGGATTTTATTTTGTCTTCATGATATTGTAAATCTTTATTAAGAAAGGAAGAGTTTTGAAATATGTTTTTTAAACAGTGTGTAAGAAATCGTGGGCCTTGATATTCTGCTTGTTAACACTACTTAGTTGCATATATATCTGTGTTGCTGAAGGCGTCTAGGTTTCTTTAGAGTCCTTCACCTGTTATGTATTTTGGTCAATTGGGACTTGGGTATTTTTATTTATGCAGCGGTCTAGACATTAGAAAGGTCAATATGATTTCATGACCTTTCTAATGATTTTATTACCTTAGGTTTAAGTAGTGCTTTTCTAACTTGCTATCGTATTTACAAAATCCTGTTCATTCCGCTTCATTATATTCATTATTATTATTTGACAATCATTCACCAATAGTGCTTGTAATTTTACACCATATCATCGTTATTATTTTACAGTCATTCTTATTGTTATTTTCAACCTTGAACTTATGTCTAGACCGCCCCATTCGTTGGTTTATTTTCATATTGTCTCACACACCCTGATTACACTCACTCTCGAAACCTGTATTTTCTGTTGACTATATTTATATATATACACACACACATTATATTAAATTACTTCATCTCATTTTGTCCCATGTTCTGATTGACCATGCATATTGAAAAACTATCTGACTATTGTTCCATCCTATCTTATACTTGTACCACAATACACTTTCTGATATGATTCTAATTTGCCTTTACTGGATATTGTATCCTTAAATTAATGGAATTATAATTGTAGAGCCTGAAGAATTTATTGAAAACAACTGTTCGCTCTAAATATTTTGTTCTGAATAAATTACTATTATTATATGTAATGTGAGTGATTTCCAGTTACTTGTGGATAGAGTATCCTAACTGCATATATTTTAAAAGTCAATTTAAAGCGTAAACACCGTCATTTATTTTATCATTTAAAGAAGTAAAATTTTAAATTTATTAATAACTTTTTCGTTTAGTCCAATTAAACATTTTAATCAGTATCATATACAGTAAGAAGATTATTAATACACCATTGTTGAGGATAAACTATCTATAATCACGCACATTTACCTCTAGTTTGACCATGGATTGATATCGGTTAGAGAGCCATTGAAAACTAGAGAGTACTGGACAGCCGTTTCGTCCTAGCTTGGGACTCATCGGCAGTAAACACACCTCGGGTTTTGAACCCCAAGACATTCCGGTTACAAGACGAGCTTGTAAATCAATGAGCCACTGGGACCCGACTCAGTGGCCCACAAATAGCCTGCTAATAACACTAAACGGATTAACTGTTTTTACACAATGTTTTGTGATAAAAATATAAGACGAAAATTCAGTAGGAGATTTCAGTAGAACGTTTTCAAGCAATACTTTTTCTGTATTTCTCGTTTATTTCAGAAATGTCAGTATTTCGCTAGTGCTGTTGAGAATGCGAAAGGATGTAACGAGAAAACAAGTTTACGTTGGAGCGAAATTCATATCCCCTTGGAGGTAAAAGATTTAAACAGTTTATCACGTGTATAGTGATTCTAAAGAATATAACCTGAGGATAGTTTTCATTTTATAGAATTTAATAAAATATATTTTGTCAACCACGTGTAGAGACATTTTTTTAAGAGTCAGTTAACACAAAGAATACTGTCCTGAAATAAAAATTCACCATACTTCTGTGAATAAGATTGCTGAGTAAACTTCAAATTCCAATGAAATTACTGACTACTGGACAGGAAATTCTGAACACGAAATGGTTGACTAACCAATCGATCTACCACAGTAAGCAGATTCTTCTCTTACACCAATCAATGGTACCTTAGTGTATGAATTCGAACTTAAGTGGGAATGGTTTCACTCACCTAACCATAGCTGCTTCTGAAGAGAAGAAAGTGACCCAACTGCATTTGTTACCTGAAGCGAGGATAACCACTGGTGTCCGTCAGGAATGTCCACTGACATTATTTTTAATTTTCATCAAAGATGGATGTGTGATTATGATCGACTTTCGCGACTTAGGGATTGACTTGTTGCTGGGGTAGAGTTTCGTTGACATAGACTACGGAGATGCCATAGTCCTTCTACGTGCAAATACTGAAAAAGCACAGTGTCTTATGAACACCCTGACTGAAAATCACACTGTGTCCGACCTGCAACTCATCCGTGTTAAATTTAGGATAACACTGCAGAATTCTACTTTGAGGATAGGTTGTGAAACATTTCAGTGTGTTGCCTCCTTCACTCATTTTTGATGCTGTATCACAGTAATAGACCGGTTTATGTCGAAATTCCAGCACGTATGAAAAAGACTCGTATGGCATTCACCAACTTGCGTTGTCTTTGGCACAAATATGATAACGAAGTAGCCATCAAGGACGGTTCACTGTGCAGCACTTTTCTGCATACTGCTTTGCAACTATGAGACACGATAGTTGACATTGGGTGGTATGAAAAGGCTAAACGTTTATGACCATAGGTATCTGTGTTAAGTGGTACCATTTGGTGAATAATGATGAGCCTAAGCCCAGATACACTGTAAGATAAGGAAGGAAAGTTAATGGACCGAATTGTAAAACTTCACTGGTTAAGAAAGCTAGGCCACATGTTGCGTATGCCATGCCACTTCCTTCCTCATCAAGCAATTTTAACTGAAATGGAACAATGTTGGAGAAGTGTTATGGTTTGTCAGAAGAAAACGTAGCACCAGTGCATGAAGCCTTTGACTGTCGGTTTCAGCCACCAATTTAAGCGGAAGGGGTGGTAGACTGCCTGACTGGACTTCCAGAGATGTTAAGGCTCAGTCATAGGAGACTTGTTGAAATGAATGAAAGTCACTCACAGTTGTGCAGATATATTCATTTTTTGTCATCAACTAGATTCTGAAAATCATCATTAGTCGCCACTTAATTAGTCTGTCTCTTTTATATTTCTTTTCATCTTTAATTTCATTCAACCTCTTTTCTTTATTCTTATGTTTACTTTCCGGAATCGTAGTATCTTGCGCTAGCGCACTTTTGTACAGAGTTCTACGTTAAGAACTTGGCCAGTCTGTCATACGATATGACGTTTTAAGATGATTAACTGTAGTCCGTGAAGCCAAGTTGTATTTTGTATAGAAAGAAGACACCTAAACCCAGTTACAATTTTATTGGTTTGAATCAGAAATGTTATTTGCCAGTGGTTTAAAAATTCGTGTACTATATTAATCGGTAGGGGACAGATGAAACCCTCTGCATGGTTCTCAGTGCTCACTGCCGGATTTCCCTAGACAGCTAACTGTTCAGTGTCTCAGTTTACTTATTTGTCCTCTATCCGATGTTTGTCATTGACGAAATCTGTTCTCAGATGTTGAAGGCATTCTCAGTCTGTTGTAGTTACCTGGCCAACTCCTTCACTGTTATCACATAATAAAATAATTATTCTTGAATATAAAACATTATTTTAACAGAATGAAGAGCAACCCAATCCTCCAACGGATGGAAATGTATTGTCCGGATCTCAATCTGATGAGGAGTATATGAATGTAAGGTCGTAGTATTTCTGTTATTTGTTTTTACCATGCTATTACTATACTTAGCGTCACTTTTGAAGTACTGCTTATCGCTTCAATATGAAATTATGCACTACTGAAATTAAGTTTTCCAGTTGACTCATGAAATCTTCAGAAAGCTAATGCCACTAAATCTCACTGTAGCAATGTTATTACCCCGGGACGTGTGAGTAGCACTTTGTTTCTTGATGCTTTACTGTGTTGATTAGTCTTCATGTAACATAATTCACACTCCAAAATGGCATGAAGCTTTCGGTTATATTCAATGATAATCATTCTATCTAGAACTGTTTGATATATTACGCTGACTTTTGTGTGTTACGTGGATTTTATGAATAATTTGATGTAAGTTGAAATCCAACTCATCTGTGTAGGACAGCTCACTATTGGATGTTGATTCATAAGTTTTCATTTTCTTAAGTTGAAATTGTCTTGTTCGTCAGGTACTACACTACAAAAGTGATATTGACTTGAGGATGACTACTCGCATCATTTAATAATGAGTGGGTAGTTCAGTGTTAGAATGTTTGATAGGATCCCACACACTTTGTTATTGTTCAATTATCTTAACGACTGTTAATCTCGTATAAGTTGTATATTATCATTTCTCACGCATATTGTTATTGTTCAATTATCTTAATGACTGTTAATCTCGCATATGTGTTATATCATCATTCCCACGCATTTTGTTATTGACTATTACGACCAATTATTTCAAATACTGTTAGCTGTCTCTATTGGTTGTAAAATTGTATAAATACCATTTCCTAAATAAGTTATTCGTCGTTGTCGTTGTTGTAGTCGTCGTCGTCGTTGTTGTTGTCGTCGTAGTCGTAGTTGTTGTACTACAATACACAGTCACAGACCAGACTTCGTCTTTTGATATTTGCGTGGTTCGCTGAATCGGAAGGTACCAGAAGCAGATAGGCATATTAGTCAGGCGCAGACAGAACAAGGCAACAACGTTCCTCATTTTAATTCCCGCTACAGTTACAACAAATTGGCTACGGGGGTTTACTTTCATTCATTGCAGTTATAACAATGTTCGCCAACCACGCACGTGGTCTGGAGTTCGATTCTTGGTTAGCGTACACCTTTACCTCCCCCAGCTTGTTGTAAGCCGGACAAAGAAGGGAGGTTGGGCTTGAGGTCAGCAACCGCATCCCGTAAAATAAACCCCAGTGCTACAGAAACTTCAAAGCTCCAGTCTGAAGCCTTGTGTTTCACTTAAAGCGCGAAGGGATAAAACGATAATAATCGAATGAGATCAATCTAAACACCGATAAGTAGTTTCACTGCTACGATGTTGTCCTCATCAGTAGCACACCAGGAATTATTCATCTACGAATGATATTAAGCTGAAATACAAATAGAATTTAAGTCGAACTATAATAAAATATCCGCAAAAATGTCATTGACAACTGTCGACTAAAATGATACGTTTTTGATTCTGTTTCGAAATAGCTACATATAGAAGAACTTGAAGCTGAGAAGAAATGTGAACAAGAACGTTTGAAACGAATCCAACAGATAATAATAATAAACCTTACTGCACCTGTTGGCAATACAAGCACTCACATCGTAACACTATTTTCAGTCACCAGCAGGAATTTCACACCAGTGATGAGTCTAAGACACCTAGTGTAACAAAGCCTGTTTGTTCATTCATTTAGTGATTGCTGTCATACTCTGTCTTTTATCTTGTTGTTTCCATACAATAAGGTTTATATTTCCAGTGTGATCAGTGTGATGAATCATTCGTTCGAAGGTGGAATCTACAAGAACATAAGAAGGAAGTTAATGAAGGTGAGTTATGCTATAAGATTGTACAGAATTCTGATGATCATTTGTACTGATTCTGACTTGGAATATCTACCTGCACACTATCAAAGTAAAATAGTTAAGGATCAAACGAAATTGTGAAAACGTAGGAAAGAAAAGATTTCACTGAAATGAAGGTATTTAATGCACACTGCTTACACTTTCTCATATTTGAGCGGAATATGCGACTGGTTGTTTTATTTCCTGTCTAAGGCTTCTCACTTTTTCACACAAAATTCACAAGTGCTCATATTCGAGTGAAGGATGTCTGCTAGCCAGAATTGTAGACAGCAATTTACGTCAATGCCTACGTCCCAAATCGGGGTTATGAGAAAAATCAATAACAAAGCTTAACCTTGAGGAACTCACCAACTGATCACAACAGACTTAACGTGAGCAAATACCATTCACAGGTATATATATGGCTTCACTTTCTAAGAGGCGGCCACAAGGAGATGACAGAATAACCCAGAGACGTTGCTTCTCTGCTAACAATAACGCTTATAATAATGTACATAAAAATCTATAAATATCTTCAAGTATTGGTTTGGTAGGGATTTTGTTTAATTGCATGGAGGATTTCATCATGAGGTGACATCAGTTAGAGAATCACTAGAAAACCTGGGAGTACTGGACAGCTGTTTCGTCCTAGTTTGGGACTCCTCATCAGTACGCGCCCACCGGGATTCGTACCCAGGACCTTCTGGGTACAAGGCGAGCTCGTAGACCATTGAGCCACTGGGACCCCGATCCAATGGTCCTTGAATTTTGACTCCTGCCAATTCACGACATAGCGCGACCATTTCGCAATGTCCTCTTAGATGGGTTACTACCTCATCTTCAACCTGCTGTACCCTACTGGTCAGTCACTAGTGACTGGCCCTTGATTTTCTGCATAAACGATCTGTTGACTGGCCCTTGTCTTCTGTCGTTACAAAATCATCTCTTACTAATTTCATGTCACATAAGTTTATCTGATAGGAAAGACAGGATTGGATAACTGAGATTAGACATTGATGTGAGACATACTTGTTTCCAGGATTCGTGTTGCATTGGGTATCGTTTTGAACAAAGATTGTTCTCAGCTAACTATATTAGTTTTAAATAACTGGCACTGACTTACACCTATTCGCGTAATTAATTGCTAGCACTGCATGCATAATGGTGACTTGACCAGACGTAGTAATTGAATTAGGTCTGTGAGGTCAAATAAATAGGTGAGAATCGGATATTGGGTTCACTGAGACCATCATATCACCTCCTTTACATTTAATATGGATGGCGGAATACCATTTCAGGATATATGGGTAATTCCCACTAGTACACAGAAAATCGGAAGCAGGGATTCAACAAAGAACCTCTTTTTTAATGAATGTACCATCAAATTGCCCAATTTATTTTGTTGTAATAATAATGAAAATTTCGACAAAAATGTAATTGTCAAGAGTTGATTTGTAAGGATTAAATTTGGTTTTCGAGATTGACTATGGACTGATATCAGTTAGAGAACCATTGAAAACTAGCACAAGATTACTGGATAGCTGTTCCATCCTAGTATGGGAATCATCGGCAGTACACACCCACCGCCAGGGTTCGAACCCAGGACATTCCGGTTACAAGGCAAGCTAGCTGGTAAACCATTCAGCCACTGTGACCCGATTCAATGGCTCATGAATTCTAACTGCCGATGATTCACAAACTAGGATGAAACAACAGCTGTCCAGTATTCCCTGGTTTTCAATAGTTCCCCAATTGATATCAATCCGCGATCAACTCGTAAAAACATAATTAAACCTTACAAACCAAATTATAGGAAATTAATCTGATGCTCGATAGTGACTTGCTACAGGATGGAGTTTCCTGGAGTTCTAGTGAGAAGTCGTGACCAGTGAGGTCCAATTAGATGTCACATGTGTGGATGTCGCACCAACGACAATGGTTGGGGTCGCGCTAAATCACGAATTGGTAAAAGTTAGAATTCATGAGCCATTGAATGTATAAAACTTGAAAAAAGGTGTGTAGAATGAATAAGATTGGTAAGACTGGTAAGAGAGTGAGAGTGAAATGTTACGTAATATGGTGTGAATTTTGATAAGATTATGAAAAATTATGTAACAGTGGATTAGTTACATAAGTAAATAAGGGGTGACAGGTGGTGAGATAACGCTGGATAGTCAAAATAATAATAATTACAGTCCTTGTGGGTTTTGTTTTATGTCCAGTGAAGAAAATTAAACCAAGGTGTGAATACATGAAGTAATAATAACAATAACAATAGTGTGAGATGCAATTAGAATATGTGTGATTTAATTACACACACCCTTCCAACACCTACCCATACATCCTATGACAGTAATTGTTTTGTCACTTGACACTTGACATCTAACTTTGATTATAATCACAAATATTTCAGTTGCATCTCTTACCATTATTAATATTATTATTTTTTGTGTGTTCACACCTTTGTTTAAATTACAATCTAAGCAATGAGCAGAGGTGGTTAGAGGGACTGAATAAACGAAATGTTAGGCAAATACAGATAAGACAGGAATCACAAAGATGACAGTGGTTGAACAAACTTAGCATATGTATACAAAGCTTTGGCTTCACTGTTTTCATGATCAAAACTTGAGCAATACACAGGTGAGTCGGATATGTGATGATTATAATAGGCTGCTTTCTGCCTTGGAGATGTTAGAATTGAAATGACCACTGTCGATCATATATTCACAATCTCCACTTTCGTCTATTTTCTACTGTCCTCTTCAGCTGGGTCCATGATTGAGCATAGTCTCTCATCTCCTCCTTGCCACACGATCTCCTCCATGTCACCCTAGCATCGACGAACCACTCGTCGCTTCTCATTGGGGTTCCACTCGAGCGATGGCTTGCATTGAGCATGATGTCATTAAATGGTCCCCCCAACGTATACCCCATACATCTTCAATTTGTCCTACATATTTGATGAGCAATAGCCTCTTGATTGGCTTGTTCATCGCTAGAGTTTCTTGTTGCCAATTCTTTCTGGCCGGCTGGCCATTTGATCTTCACTGTGGAGCCAGAGAAGGGAGCAGCTGTTTATAAAAGCTTGTAACTTGTTGGAAATCTTTTTCGTGATGCTCTCGCCAATTTTCTGACCGATATAGAAGAACTGACTCACTTCAAATTTGTGTTTAAAATCCGAATCTTCTTTATTCTGCGGCGGAGTGCAGAAGATTTCCAAACTGGTTTCACAGTGATAAGGGCGTATCTTGCCTTCCCGTTGCTGCCCCTAACATCTTCCTCCCGTTCCACCTGTATTTGAAACGATGTGTCCTAAAAAATGGGGGAGGTAACCTTCTCCCCCGTTGATGGTGATTGGTGCTGGTTCTTGTTGTTGTCGTTGTTGCGGTTGGTTGGTTATCTTCATCGCCTCTGTCTTCTCTATGTTCACTTGGAGTCATGTCTTCGCTACCTGCAACTTCTGCCATTTTGTTGGTTTTCGCCTGTAAATCTTTGGGTTTGTGTGATATTAAACATAAATGATCTGTGAAATCCAGATCTTCTAGATTCTTCTTATCGGTCAGTGCAGTGTATTCCTGTCATCTCGCTCCCCACACAAACAGCCTTCCGCATAATCCAGTCCGAGCTGGTGAAGAATGCACGTTAAGTAAAAATGTATATTTGTTTCAGTGAAATCGCTGCGATTTTGTCCTTGCTGAGCACTTTGAAGAATCAGTTGCACTAGAAACGTCATTACTGTGCATTAAATTAAGTGAGCTGCTTGTCTAATACAGTTCAGATATGACTATCTCTCGCCATTGTTTGCGTTCGAATGTTTAGCTGTACAGATGGCTGAATTGTGCAAATAAATGAATAAAAGGAAATTCCAGCTTTGAAGGTGGCAATCAGATTTTAAAATGTCCATTGTAAGACATCAGTTTTGTGTATTTCATAATGAAGCGATCCAAGATGGAATTCAGCAACGAAGCGAGATATATGTATTTTTTTATAACTGACTGAATTCACGGATGATTAATGCTTCAGGTGCCACAGTCTTGAAGAATGTCACGAATATTCGACTCGTTAACAAGACGAGGCTGAGATGATACACTGACACATATTGGATTCTATTGTCAGATTCCATTGTGGATCCTTCACCAGTTGCTGCTTTTGTTATATCGAAATATGTGTAGTATTAGGCTATTCAACGCTGAAAGATGACTCAATCCAAATTTACCAACTTGGTGATGCATCAGACTGCTAAACCTTAGTCTCAACACTCCTAGAATAAATCAATAAGGAAGGCTGTAGTTTTCACCAACTCTGTCTTCTCTTTCTCTATGGGAATGAGTCAAGAAGGCAGGAGTAGTGGGACGATTCGTGAGTGAATGAAGCCCGCCCATAAAATGATCTTCTAAATTTGACCAAATTGATCAACGGGCGAGTTTATGAAAACGATTAATCCATCATCATGCATAATATGGGTCTGGTAGGCAGCTAACTGAAGCTACATTTAGACAACCTCAGCCCCATTTAACCAACAGATAGCTGAGATGGTACATCTTTCTACTTCTGTAGAATTAGTGACCAACGTATCAGTAGACGACTTTGAGCTACTTTCTTTTCTATTCGAATTTTTCCCCTGAACAGATAAAACTGTCAGTTCACCATTCCCACTGTTATTGTTACTGTTATTTATTCTCTGTATTTTAGGTCGAAAATTCGACTGTCCCGAATGTGACAATAAATACGCCACTAAAAAGTTTCTTAATCAACACGTCCAGGTGCATCACAGAGGTCAGTAATGTGTGTTTGTCTGTGTGTGTCTTATTGTGTTTTACGTGGAGCAGCAACCGACAAACCTGTGTGATTTCTCGGTCAGTCCTCTGGATATTCATCAGTGTGAGATTAATATTTTATTGATCAGTCGTATAATGTTGTTGTCAATTGAAGTACTAGTGGAACAAACCTGATTTCAACATCATCTCTATGATAAGGAGAATGATAAATGCAGATTGAAAGCAAGGAGAAAATAAGGAATATCAGATGAGTAATTTGAGTTATTCATTGGATTGTAGTCATTACTGAGGTTGTGTCAGTTGATTTTAGACTAAAATTGATATAGGTATGCAGGAGGCGCTTCAAGTGTGTGTGATTTCACAGAACAGTGATTTTTTCCAACGGATAAAAAGTTTACCTCCTTGTATTAGTATTTTTTTCTACTATTTGTTAAGTTTTTCAATTCTAATCTTACCTGACTGTTTCTAATTATCCTATATCTTTGTTCGAAGGTATATATTTTGTGTGCAGCATCTGCGATAAAAAGTATGCCACAAAGTATCGATTCAACAAACATGTTAAAATTTGTAAAAGAAGGTGAGTAACCTTCAGTTTTAATTTTACTTCCTCTTTCTTCTACAAATTATTGGTTAAACTTGATTAACAGTATATGATGTGTGTGTGTTTATCGTGTGAGAGTAGTAATAGCAGTAGTAGTGTTTATTGAGGAGTACAGAGTTGAGAATACTGATAACAATCGGAGGTGTTATAACTACATTTGTCTCATCAGGATTATTACAGACATGATAGTCAGTGTGTCATCCATTCTGTGCCACTCTACGAATCGATTAAACAAAGTGTAGAAGATTAAGGAATATATTTCCATATTTGGTGAAGTGTGGTGAGGTGGGTAGTGAATATTTTGTGTACCAGGTCATTACGAATGAATGCATATTTCTATTGGACGTCTTCTTAAGTGATATTAAATTATGTTTCGGTTAACAGGTTGAAAGTCAGTCTCTCCTATGTTTAAATTTTCACGGTTGCCCTAGCTTGATAATTTCCCAATGTTTTGAAGTATTTGACTAAATTCTGCCCAGTGTGTATATACTTTAGGAATTTCGTGGAGATTGCAAACCTTTTTGACTTACCACTTGACGTATAATTCATGAATCATGTTTATTTCACCTATCTCATTTTTTTCTTCACTGGGTACATGTTATTGTGTTCACTGGCAAATGTTTAGTGAAGATGAAACTGTCAAGTGCGTGAGGAATTAACTGGTATGAAAATAGATTCTGTGCAAACACAAATGCGAAAGCAGGAAGGATTACCTCGACATAAATCAGAATTCATTTGCCTTTTAATTCCAACACAACGACGGAATGGTGACGTGTTATTCTTGTTTGACTCCTTGCCAATCACGCAAGTGATCCGCGTTTACGACCCCTTACTCCTGAATCCTATTTAGATAGTAGCATTTCCTGGTAAAAACAGGTGAAGTTGTGCCCTGGAGCTGACAATTTCATTCTCTAATAAAATGCACCACTACTACTGAAACGTTAAAACCTCAAGCTCCATGTTCCACTCATAGTGCAAAGGAAAAGAAATTATAAGTTTATTCCGTTATCTGCATGCTTCAATGGTGAAGTCTTCATCACCAATGTAGACAAGCATTTCAAATTAAAGTTAGGCCTTGTGAAATCCCTGTAACTACTTTGTAACTGTAATCAGTAGTATATATCATTGGCATTGAAAGGAAACAAACAAATTCAATCGAACATATTTATTGTTATTATTGTTATTGCAGAGCAGAAATGAACAAACGGAAGTTTAGGTGTAAACGATAATTATTCTTCTCCTGCTCATCTCCTCGAGATACAGTTCACCTGAACAGTGTGATTATTTTGTATTTTTCTACAGCCATGTCAATAGAGCGTAGAGACGATTCAGCCAGTATACAGCTGACTGATTGACTCTATAACTCTGCATAATCAGATTTTGTCATACAATAGTATATTTTTATACTTTTATATTAAATAACAATAAGAGAGTCTCATAAGATATAAACTGTTATCGAGAGTTCTGTTCCTCTTTCATTCATCTGCATCATGGACTAAAGATTTACGATTCAGGTTGTTGTTGTGTGGATTTTTCTCTGTCTACCGTTAATTATAATTAGTTAACGACATCACAAGAGGAAGAATTCACCACAAGATGTTCTGTTACCGAGCTGCATACACCCTCGCTTGCATTCTGCCTGTGCTATCCAGCATAGCTGGATAGTGTTCCCGAGTGCGTTTTACAAGCGGACGCATGGTACGGTCAATGCACTCGGCTCCACAAGAGCAAGTGAACTGGTATATGCATCCCTAGTTCTAATATCTTTCTATCTACTTCAACTTGAACAACTGGGGAGTAGTAATCAGCTCTCACAAAGCGAGTAGGGTTCAACGACTCTGGTAAATTAAGAATCTGTTCAGGGTACTGTACTGAGAGTTTCATTTAACTACTATGTGCCTAACTAACTATCTATACACATATAATCTAACAGGAAGGTGAGAAATTTTAAAAGTTCGAATTCACATTACTCTCACCAGTAAGTAGTGGCCTGGTTAAATCACTGGGCTACCAAAATTTCCATCCATCGAGATGCTTGAATATTTTCTGCATTTCTTATTGTTTCAACCAATGCAGTTATATCAAATGATCACTACATGAACTCTTGGACATATTTAATTGGCTTTCAACAAAACACTGGGCAATCAATCCTTGAAGGAAATGAAGAGAGAAAAAAACTACACAGAATTGGTTCTGTCTTCAGTGATTCAGTATTGAATATATGTTCATTTATAGCATGTCCATGATACTGTGACCTCTTTATTAGCCATCCGAGATAGTGTTCCTTAACACATTTCTGAATAAAATACGGAGTGAACAACCTCTATATATGTACATCATTCTACTCGTCTGCTTTTGTTTGAAGTCAGTTCCTGAAATATTGTCGTCCATGTTCCAAGATATGAGGAGGCACGTCTATTGTGTGAGTGCTGGTGCTGCTGATGACGATGACGGAGCGGGATTCGAACCCGAAGCCCATTGATCGTAATTCGAACGCTTATGCTAATAGGTGAAGTCTCCATCCACAGGAGCAATTGTGTTGACAGATATACATAGAAATGATTAATTGTTGTACTTTGGCTTTTGAGTTATTAGAGAATATTTGGACAACAGGAAAATATCCCCCTCTTAATGTGGATGTAGAGAATGCTTCTTTTCAGAGTATTTTGACATTCTCTTCCCTTAGAGAGTTCCACTGAAAAAACAGAGTCTTTTCTCTGAACTATTTGTTCCTATTTCACATTTATATCTCAGGATCTCTTCCCACACTGTGTGTTCTTTCTTTCAGTTTATCAAAACATGCCACAGCTGAATTGGAAGCCTCATATAATAATAATCATAATAATAATAATAGTTATTCACCAATAAAAGAAGACGCATTACATCATCATCAACCTGACAAAAGTAATCATACTAATGGCGACGAGGGTGTTAACACATCTCCGTCTTCTTCTTCAGTCAATAATGAACAAGAGGAGAAGGGGGAGGAGGAGAAAGACACGTCTCCATCAGTACTTCCTGTAGCTGATGAATTGAGCAGATCAACTGAACTCAATGATGAGATGCAAGCAAATAACAGTATTGCTGAGACTACGGATACCACCGAAACAACAACAACTAATAATAATAATAACAGCAATACAACACCAGTTATAACCGATCTCTTCTCTTTATTTTTCGTTGAAGTCAGTCAGTTAATTCATACACGTTTAGCCCTATGTGAATTTACCTATGAAAATATGCAAATGTCATGTTGTAATATGAAAAATTGGCCTACAATGCAAACAGTAGCCACATCGAAGGGTTTACCAATAGAGGATATACTAGCGCTTTATTCAGCACTGGTCTATTTAGCTATGATATTACGACCGAATAACTGTGCTCCATTAATTGATATTTGTTTAAATGCTACTGCTGATTCACTTCATCATGTTGGTCTTTCATTGTAAGTTTATTGTTACTGGTAATGATAATCACTTTATTCTAAATATGAGTGATTTTTTAGACAGAATGTAATTTTCTACACTTTTATATGGCTTCAAGTTTAACCACGGGTTGATATCAGTTAAAGAACCATCTCATACCAGCACTGGAGTTCCTAGACAGTTGTTTCGTCAGCCTAGTTTGGGATTCATCTTCAGTCTAAAACCACCCCACTTGGGTTTGCACCTAGGACCTTCTGGTTACACGTCTACCTAGCTCGTAAACCATTCAGCCACTGGGATGTGACCCGACAAACTAAATTTTGAAAATTTATCTTGTGCTCTCTAATGACTGACTGGCTACAGGTAGACGAAGTTGACTGGAGTTCTAGTGAGAAGTCGTGACCACCAGTGGAGTCCATCAAGTGGTCAGGAGTGAGGACAAATACTCACCAGCGATGACAAATTAGCTAGTACCAGTCACTCTGAAATCACCAATTGGCAGAGGTTAGAATTCATGGGCTGACCACTGAGTTAGCTCCAAGTGGTCGAATGGTCTACCAGCTTGCTTTGTAGTCGTAAGCTCCTGGGTTTGAACCCTACTGCGGTGGGTGTATACTGACGATGAGTTTCAGACTGGACTGGTGAAACAGCGCTCCAGTATTCCAGTGCTGGTTTTCAATGGTTTTCTAACTGATATCAATCCGGGATCAAATTTGAAACAATTCGAATCCCTAAAATCTGACTCTTGAGTAATAATAATAATAATACTATTAGTAATGCTTAATAATATTTTATGCAAATTATCGACTTTATAGTTGGCGGTGAATTCATATTATTTGTTTATATCATGATAAGAAATTACATTTGATTTTGTTGAATCCTGAGCAATTTTTGTAGAAGACGAATCGTAAACTTTCATTCTGTACCTGTTAGCATGGTTTCAGACTGTAATTAATTTCCAACATAAATTTCCGAAAGATTACTTGATTTAGGCAATACCACATTAATCACCTGATATATGTTTATGTACTAGACTACAAGTTGTAGATGATATGCAATGATATAAAATTCCACCGAGTTAATAGGATAAAAATAGGGGACAGGGGTTTTAATGTTTTTAATCAAACTTTATATTTGTCATCCTGAATGAAAGAACCACGTTTCACAATGAATCCATCTAAAATACCCTAATGCTCATATCAGTAGCCTAGTTGATGCATTCTGACAAACTTTAAGAGGTCACACTTTGGATTGAACGATACAGTTTCCCCCACCAGAGGTGAGATGATTTTCAGTAATCAACGAAAAATAAACAGTCTAATAATGAGTTGAAACTGGATGCAGCAATTTTACCAACGTAAAATCCTACAAACAGGAAGGTGAGAAGAGTAATAGGAAGTAACGTAAATAGCAAGGTGAAATTTGGTTAGACGTAACAAATGGAGTTGACTATCCATTAGGTGCCTTGTCATATTTAAATCTTTAGTGATTTTTAACTGGCCAGAATAAAATCCCTCTCATTAAACCTGATTCGATTGTATTCTGTCTCCAACAGATTTTTAGTTGATGCTCGTTTTCAGTGATTGTTTAGGTGACACTGATAGATAGGGTGTTTTGTCTGTTGCCATAATATTGGTTTGTACACGAAACATCAAACACACTCCAGGTTCGTTGGTTGTCTGTAACGGGTGCACAGACGAAGGCGGATACGATTTTAGTTTTGCTAATCTAATCTGTGATTTGATTTTCACAGAAACTACCTTCAAAACTTACGAAGATTTGATCCCTATGTATGCGTAATTTAAGTCAATAGGAAAAGATTAAAGAGCGGTGATATCTCCTATGACAGTCACTACATATTTGCGAAGTTAGCTGTATGCTGCGACGATCTGATGTCTTAAATGTGGTGTGGCTAACTGGAAATTTTCAGAGGGTTAACTTGCTTCGAAAAAATTATTACTTAACACCTTTTGTTAAAATATACCATGATGCTTATGGGAAAACAAAGCGTCTACAGAATTTTCATGATTAATGCAATCCAAGCATAAGCAAGATTCGGTCGGTAATCTACCTGTGAATTTCATTTAGGATGGCGCACTGATAGTGATCCAAAAAATTCTGAATCAAAATCAAATATTTCCTGAATAGTTTTAACTTGTCATCATAATACGTCAAGAGAAGTCTAAATGAAATAGTTTTCCAAGTAAAATATCACTTGCCATCTGATCACTGAGATCCATGAAACACTGGACAGCTGTTTTGTCGTATTTTTCAATGTTTCGGCTGTTCAGTAATATGTGGCTTTTAACACTTGTCCGATCAAATCCTCATCTTAAAACGAATGCTACTTTGACTTCAATTACTTTTCACCATTACACAATCAAGTGGTTCTCAACCACCAAACATAGGCAAGTAACTGTATCACATATAATGTTTACTTCATCCTGTTATCTTTTTTCATTCTCTAAGTTCTGAGTGGAACATGGGGCTTCGACTTTGCAGATTCCGCAGTGGTGGTATTATTTTTACAGGATGAGGTTGCTAGCCTTACACCTAACATTTTATCTTTTTCGGCTTGCTAATAGTTAGTAAGGTAAGCGAAATTCAGGAGTGTATCGCCCGGAAATCGAACCTGGATAACACTTCCGTGTTTGGCGAGCTTTCTACGACTGAGCACAGAGGCATGCTGTTTATTATCTACGTCGCACATATTTCGTTGGTTTCTCTCAATTGAATAAGTATGATTAATCTGATTGAAATGCTGTTAGACGTCATCTTCATCTAGAAAGGATGAAGACAATTGAACTGATATTTGGTACTTGGATGATTTCAAGTATATATAAACCAGCTGGGCAGTAAATTTTGAATTATCCATCATAATATGATGTCGATAGTTACTATCGATGAGCTTTGAATGTTTATTGATCAACTGAGGCTAAACGAAGTCAAGGCCTTTTCTAAATCCTATAGTCAGTCAGTTAGATTAACTTTGTTATTATTGCTATAAAATAAAAATGTTTATTTCCATGTTTTGCCTATAGTTATTTGCTTTGACAAAAATATGGGACTTTTTAATATTTTATACATGTGTAATCGCAACCAAATATTTTATTAATTTAAGTAAAATTCTGTTTGATAAAAATGGTTAAATAATTTATTTAATTGTAGGTCTTTACTGGATATTATGCAAACAAAATTTAATCCTTCCTATTCTCCTTATTCCTATGGAACAAGACCTCATTCGGCTGTACAATATGGAAATAATCGAAACCACATTTGTAAAACAAACTTAATTGACAGAAATTTTGGATTGTATTTTGATCTGTTGGATAAAAATAGAACTCAAGATTCACATAGTCGATCAATATTGGGGGTTTCAGATAATTATTATCAAAACATGGGTGAAGCAATTGCTAGTCAGATGCTTAGGAAGCAAAATGAGTGCAAATATAGGTACGTTTTCCGTGTAATGGAGTCATTTATACATATACATCATGGGTTGCATACAATCGACAGAGAAAATGATTTTTACAAAATTAAAAGTCAATCTGAACGCCATAAATTATGACGAATAATAATTGTAATAATAATATTTGTGATAATAAGCAAAGAAAAAAACCAAGAGGCTTAAGGGGGAAGGAGCACTCTTGGCCTTCATGCAAACATTCTCTCAATACTATCGAATATTTCATTTATACTGTCCGGACTTATTATTAGTGATATTATCTCTTTTCTCAATATATGCCTTCACCTGTTTCATTTCACACATTCGTCATTTCATTATGAACCTCTCATTGCAGTCTTACTATCTCCTGTTTAACACCGACCACTTTGTACTAGCCACTCACCTGACACCTGTTATAACCTTGAACTGACTTGTCAATTTTCCTACCCTACAATCTACAAATCTATTATGATTAATCACCACCATTGTCTCCCGTTTTACAATATTTTGTAATCGATTTCAGCCTAGCACGTTTGTCACACAAATACTACTATTTATTTTGATATCCCATAACTAATCTGCTATTCTACGTTAAAATGTATCCGCCGCATAACCGGCCTTTATTGTAACGACAACAAATATTATATTTTATAATTGTAAGAACCTGAAGAGAAATTATTGAAAAGAATATTTTTCGTTCTGATTGACTTTTAATTCATAATATGGAAATATTCCACACTATCAAATTTTCACAAAATGCTAACCAGCAATTAATTGAATTAACCAAATACCAGATAACAAAAGCAACAATGGCGAAAAGTTAAAAAACGACTTATTCGCAGCATTCACCAGAAAACTAAATAAAACTAAGATCTGAAAATACGAAACCGGTAGAGAAATTAAACATATCCACCGATCATATATCAAAACAAAACATAGACAGCAAACAAGAGCGACAGGATATTAAAAACGAAAAACACCAACAAAATTACTTCACAAAGGATTCCTAAAATTACAGATTTTAAGACGAAATATGCATAAACTTAAACAATAAGAGTTTGGCCTACAGTGTGGGAAGATAATTTTGAAGACTGAAGTAGAAATGAGGTTCGGTTGCAAATCGCATGTCTCCTGTCGCCTTCAGTGTGATGTTATTGATGCATACACATTTTGCGTGGTTGTCCTCAGGTGACCCCATTTGGTTCGTCTTGAGTTTTCAGGTAATTTGAAACTGGTAGCTGCGATTCCCTGTTGAATGTGACATTCTTCTGAGACTGTAATGGATGGTTGGCAGTAATTTTCCTGCTTGGCGACTAGTGTGTGTATATAGATGAATCCACACCAATTGATAAGTTTGGCGTATAGTGTGGTGAGAGATGGTTGCTAGCCAAATTGGTAGACAGTAATTGAGATTAATGTTTATGTCTCAAATATTAGTCATGTGAAAACAAGGCAAAGATGGACAGCAGACTGCGTAGGCGGATACAGTTAGCATATAGATGATCTGACACAGCCACAAAGAGATGCAAGAATAACTTTCTGTGAGAAACAACCAATCAAAAGACCGTATTTTCTAACAACAATAATGTACATTAAAATCTATAAATATGTGTTGACTTTCCTTAAAAAGCGATCTGTTGCCTGACTCTTGCCTTCTATCGTTACAATAGTACATCGAAGCACTTATTAACGTGGTCTCCTTTTATTTCGACAGAAGTTCAAGATTGTCGGACATTAAATTGTCTGTGAGTGCCACGGATCCTGGGGTGTCAACGGGACAAAGTGTTGATGAAGACAAGGCGTCTCGTCCTGGTACCTCGAGTGCTGTTACATTGGAGTTGGCCCGTGGGAATGATATAGCCTGTGAGTTGTTGTCTCCAGACTCAGATGGTATGGGTGATTTGAAGGCGAAATCTGTGATCGACGACTGTTCGACCTTGGGGATTTCGTCGCCCGAATTAGAAAGAACCAACGGTGGAGTTGGGAGGTATGAACGCTGATTTATTGTTGAAGTGTGAGCGATTTGATGTGCATTCTAGCTTTGAAAGACTCGGAGCTGTTCAAAAATAAATGGTTGTAGTTTTGATATGTTTTGATTTGTGTCTTCCAAGTTTGTGACGGACAGTTTTAGTTAGATTTTGTCAGAGTTTCTGGGGTTAGTTTGCAGTGAATTTGACAAGTATATTTGTTTTCTTAGCGAATTGATGCTTGTGTTTACTGTCCAATGTTATAGGTTTATTATATAACTGACTAGTGGATGATTGCCCCGAACAGTGTTGATTGTTGTGTAGTCAATTATCAACATGTTGATTGTGTCAGATGAGGCGAGTAAATTGTGGTGAATGCGGTCAGCCTTGCATTACTAAGGGGACCGGGACTGCGAAAAAAGTGCTGTTATAATTATTTCTAACTACTGTATTTCGCAATGACCGAATAACAGCAGAGAAACTGGTTTATCTGGAAATGACAGAGTTTTCACCAGGCTGTACACATTTAGCCCACTAGCAGTAATAAAATGAGCTGAAATTTTGTTATCTCGTACATTCTTCGGCATGCACCATGCGTCAAAGCATACAAGATAATCGGCGATTTCCTGCAACGAACCGATCATAGGAAACTTTCCAAGATTATTTAATTCGATAGTGACTCCAAAATGTTATAATTATTTGTAATAGTAGTATTTCGCAATGACCGAATTGCAGGAAATCAACCAACAACACAGAGAGGGATGAATTAAGGAATTTGTATTTGGCGGAATTATTTGTAACATTGTATTTGTATTCGTGTAACAAATATTAACAAACAACAATAAGTATTTAAACAATACAGTGATAGAAATTGTCAATAACCACAAGTGCCCATCTATGAAGACTATCAGAGGTTAGACATGATTTTGATGATCAAGGAGGCACCGATATCTGCCGGTCCATATGATTCGCTGTTGTCTGCATCAAAATGTGCGCAAATATTGAACTGTGTAGGCAGCTGATATGAGACTGTTATTACATGTTGATCGGTGGTATTTCCACTTGGTGAAGATGCTGCATTGACTTGAGAAGCTGAGTTCGGGAGATGTCCTTATGCATGTAGAAGAGGATAATTGCATTGTGTACATGATAGGCTATAATATTCTGTAGGACTCATCACACTAGGAAGCGTTGGTTGCGACTATCTATATTTGTGGACTAAGATGGTCATGCATGGTAGTGTTGAAAGCGTAACTTACCGTTCTGGCTTTACATATGTCAGCGAAATCTTTAGATTCTTATCGCCTCGTCACTGCTTGTGAGGAGTGTTGGCGTACACTGGACAACAGCCTACCTGTAGGTTTGATATTATGTAATGTCTTTGAAATATATTGTCGACAGAATAGATAGTGTGATGTCAGCTGCTCCAAGTCTGATTTGTATTTTCCCCTATGAACACGAGTATACGTTTTTCGTCATATCTGCTTATTAGATTTTGATTTTATAATATATATATTATGTTATATATATATATATTTATTATACAATTTATTTTGGAATTTTTCCTACCGAAATTTTGTTGGTTCTGTTTATTTTGCTATTTTACTTATTCTATTTTTCCTGTTCGATTCTTTGTGACTTTCTGCTGGGTTTTATTAAATTTTTTTATAGTTTTTATTGGTTTTTTTCTAGGCTATTTTGTTGTCCTTCGTAACCTTTTTTTTATTTCTTCTGGTGTTGGTTGTGTTTCTCGTCTGCTTTGTGTTCGTTTTTGATTTTCACCTGTGTGATTTTAATTTTTCTGTTTCCTTTGATTTTTTGTTCACTGTGTATATAATGGTGATGTGGTTATGGATGTTACTTTTTCTTTTAACGCGCTTTTCTAGTCCGTTGATTGATTTTGCTAGTTTCGCTGATTCATTATTTATTTTTGCACTGTTGTGTTTGGGTCGTTCTCTGTGCAGTGAATTTTGAGTTGCGCGATACTTTTATTCGCTAACTGCTACTTTTCAATTTATAAATCATTTTGATTCTCATAAATTTGTAAATATTTTATTTTTAATTCTACTCATTATTGTATGTTGGTTGTACTGAGATAGATTGCTCACCAATCACATATGTAGTTCGGGGTTCAATACCCGGCTGACGCACTCTTAAATTTCGCTATGCCGATAATAAGACTAGTAAAGAGAGAAGGTTGAGCATGTGGCTAGCAACTCCACCCCACAAAAATAAATACCACTTCTACTAGGAATGTAAATGAATGAAATTTTGAAAAATCCACTCATTGTGAGTGATTATATGTGCAGGCAAAATGATGTACTATCCGATATATATGTATATATGTACATGTGTTTGTGTGTTTTACGTCATCCACACCTTGGTAATTATACACTCTTATTTCTGTTTTTCTTAAGGTCCAGTGATTTCTTCCAGGATAATGACGACAGCAGCTCAGTAACCAAAGTTAACAGTTTCTACAGTACATTAAAAATCAATTAGCTGTCTACATAAATCAAATCTCATCGTCTCATCCTCTTTATGATTCTTCTAAATCAGATACATCCCTTGATTTGAATGTGGTAAATTGAATATGTTTCAGTTCTCTTGAAGAAGTTTTATAGTGTTATGTTGTTTATGAGATACTGTTATTGTTACTGACGAAAATAATATGACTTATTCATAAATGAATTATGTTATCGTATGAAATTATTAACTGAAACTAGGAGGTATGTTGCTAAGTTATTCAGAGGACATAGGATTATGAGTGGTGTAGTGATTTAGGATACATATTTTTCTAGTGTGTATCTGAATAGTCTAGCTACATGCCATTTAGTTTCAATCAAATTATTGATTCAGTGATTGAGACAACTAAGTTTTGCAGGAATTTATGGGTAGAAAGAATTGAGGATAAATCATATATTACTAGATTGTTCTAATACATTATAACAAATGTATTGAAATTCCAGTTTACTCATAGTGTGGTGATGTGATACAGACAATGTGTTCCAACGGAATATCATTCTCACATATTCCCACAGTTCAATGCTGCATTAGCAACAGAATAATGTATGCATTTGAACATTCTATTTCACATAGCTTAATGTAAACAAAAGTCACACGCTAAACGATAGCTTAGAGAATATAGAACTTATATATATATATATATATATATGTAGCAGTTTGATCACTTTAAAATATACCTTGGCTTCCATGTCTTGTCTTCTGCTGTTACAATCGTACTATGTATTGAATGATTTAAAGTGTGATGGTATAAGGCATTTGGCTAAGTCATTCAACACATAGAATTACTTTATTTAGATTCGTGATCTTAAGAATGCAACTTTAAAGTAGACCCGAGTGAAATGTTTACTGGCTGTTAACATCGATCACTACTACTGAACTGTGATTAGAACTTGTTTTGTTGTATGATAAGGAGTTTAGTTTTGTATTGACCAGTTTACCAAATGCCCTACGCATTAAATATTGCTTTGTTCGCATGTTCTACTCTTTAGCTGAATTATTAATAATCCTCTTTATTTTCACCATTATCTAACCGTGATTTACCAATGACATTACAATTGTTACCATTCGCCTAAAATGAGCGAATTTGAAACAAATTACACTCACTGCTTAAAAGCCTGTTTCAAACTTATATTACCATCCGAATTTGCACAAAATATTCACCTCCTGCCTGTTTTACTATAATAATAATAGTAATAGTTATTATTCTTAGTAGTACTTAGGTTCTGAGTGTGAGATAAAGTTTCAACAGTACATCTCCATTTCGTCATGTTTTCTGCAGTCATCTTGGCCAGGCTGCACGGATTGCTCATAAGCTCTCATCTCCACCTCACACGATCTCCATATCACGGTCGGATCAACGCCCAACTCCGATGTTTCCTATTTGGGTCGTAATCGAGGGTCTAGCGCACGAGGTCACTCAGTGGTCTACTCAGTGTGTGTTAGATCCATCTCCATTCTCATCTGAGAACTGTCTGTCACTTCGTTCTCGGTTGGGTGGTTCCCAGAGTCCCTTGCTGCTAATCCTTTCTGGCCATCTGATCTTCAGTATTGAGCGAAGAAAGCTGTTGATAAAAGTCTGAAACATTTAATGACATGCACGCCAAGTCTCCAAAATATACAGAACCAGTGACTGATTTGAAATAAGTGTTGACATCCGAATCTCGTTCCTTATTCTGAGTGCAGTCGATTTCAAATTAGTGAAGGTCTGTCTTACTTTTCCGATCTTGACCTTGGCATCTGTATCCGTGCCGCCTGCAGTTGGAACGTCGCTGGCCAAATAAGTGGAAGAAGTGACCTCGTTTAGATTTCTCCCGTTGATGGTGATTAGTGTTTGTTGTTGTTGTTGATCAGGGATCTTCGTCACCCTTGTCTTCTCTATGTTCGCTTCTCCTATTTTTCCTACGTTTCGTTTTCCTTTCTTCCTCTTTCTAACTATTGTTACGATGTTGTCGATCAATCTTCCTAGCCTTTAGCCAGGCTTTGTTACTGGATCCTCCACTAGTTTGACCTAAATACGACTCACTATATGAACCACAGACATGTTTTCCATCAACAGAATACAACTGCTTGACTAGTTACGACTATCGTTAGATCTAACTGAAATTGGCTCACACTTTTAAATAAGATAGTACGATGGTGAAGATTAGAAAGACAGAAACTAATTCTTGTCAAATATTCGAATAGGGTATTTATTGAAGTTACTTCACTACATTCAATCTACTAATCCTTTTGGTGAAATAAACTGCCTTTTTGATTTGGATGGAGGATTTCAGCATGAGATGACATCAGTTATAGAGCCACTGGAAAACCTGGGAGTACTCGACAGCTGTTTCATCATAGTTTTGGACTCTTCACCAGTACGCACCCACCGGGGTTTGAACCCAGGACTAGTATGAGTAGTTCAAAAGAATATATTACATGCATGTTTTGATAGTAAAAATTAGTCGCACTTGTGAGTTTACAGAAGGACCACCCAGGACGTTTTTGTCCTGGGTTCGAACCCCAGT